ATAGCACTCCAATCAATATAACACACAAAAACTCCTCAGTGTACTTTTCCAAACGTAACATTCTAATGTAATACCAGAAAACCACACTAATAGAAATGCAGATTTTCACGCTTGATAACCAATACTTCAACCACTAATCCCTTCAAAAAGAATATTTCACACCTCATATTTTCATTCTCATCCTAAAAACAAATTACAAAATTGAAAATATGAATCATAAAAGGCCATTCACTTAAACTCAAATGACACCAAATCAAATAAATACAACTTTTCAAAACAAAAAATGACAATGTTCATAAGAAAACTCTAAAAACTAAATGGATCAACATTCCTCCTTTTAGGATTTATGAGTAAATTTTCCTTTTATTATTTCTATTTTTGTAATTAAAATTCAGAATTATTCACAATCTTTATTATCACGAGTCTTTAGACAAGGAGAGTTAATTTGTTTTTACACTACGTTTGGTTGGAGAATTTGGAAAAGAATTTGGAAAGGGAAAGGAAAAAGGTGCGTAAAATTATGCGAAATATGAGTATGTTTTATTCACATTTCACTTACCTTTTCTATTTCTCTTTCCAAATCTCTCAACCAAACACAATATTAGGGACTATTTGGGAACTTATAAACGAGACACATCTCTTTTTTGAATTTTTTGCTTAAGTTTCGTTTGTTTTGATTACTCATTTTTTGTTGTTTGATTGAACAAAAAGTAAGTATAACATTTTTTAAGAAAAATATTTTTGCATCATTTTTTCAAAAATGACTTACCTTTAAAATTTCATAAGTCAATTTTTATAAAGTTGACTCTCACTCACTACCTTTTCAATACATTTAACATTTTCAAATAAATATTTTAACTTACTAAAAAGTTATAAATGACACTTTAGTGAATCAAAATTTCTATTTTAGGCAATAAAATGCTTTTGTTTCAAATGTCAACCAAATGCAGAAAAATTAAAAATATATATTTTTCTGTGTAAAATATTTTACATTGAAACAAACGGAGCCTTAGTGACATGTTTTAAAATTATGTCAAAATTTTTACTTTTTTAGTCCATTTTGTGTAAACAAATCAAAAAAGTAAAGAAAATTGAAATTTTCAAAAAAAAAAAAATTAAAATAAGTCAAAACACTAGTTTTTTTTTACTTATTTTTGTTTTTTTAGATTTTTTTAATTCTTTTTTTGATATTTTTTTTTATTTGCTTGTTTGTCTTGTTGAGTATAATCTAAAATTTTAAAATGTATTTTTTTAAATAAAAAAAAATCAGTAAAGATGAAAAATACCAACAAAAAAGTTACTAAACATTTATACTGTCATGTCAACATTAATATGCGCTTCACTCTATTATTATTAGGGGTATTTTGATAACAATGTCACTCATAGGACTTATTAGAATATAAAAAAATAATTTGAATTAAGTGGAACATAAATAGGTGAAGAGAAATTTATGAATAAATTGCCCTATAAAAAACTTGTTTGATATCTGTTTTCATAGAACTTATAAACAATTTTATAAAATTTACAAAAAAATTTGTACCTATAAAAAAGTTGATTTAACTTATGTAGGATAAATTTATGAATAAATTGCCCTATAAAAAACTTGTTTGATATCTGTTTTCATAGAACTTATAAACAATTTTATAAAATTTACAAAAAAATTTGTACCTATAAAAAAGTTGATTTAACTTATGTAGGATAAATTTATGAATAAATTGCCCTATAAAAAACTTGTTTGATATCTGTTTTCATAGAACTTATAAACAATTTTATAAAATTTACAAAAAAATTTGTACCTATAAAAAAGTTGATTTAACTTATGTAGGATAAATTTATGAATAAATTGCCCTATAAAAAACTTGTTTGATATCTGTTTTCATAGAACTTATAAACAATTTTATAAAATTTACAAAAAAATTTGTACCTATAAAAAAGTTGATTTAACTTATGTAGGATAAATTTATGAATAAATTGCCCTATAAAAAACTTGTTTGATATCTGTTTTCATAGAACTTATAAACAATTTTATAAAATTTACAAAAAAATTTGTACCTATAAAAAAGTTGATTTAACTTATGTAGGATAAATTTATGAATAAATTGCCCTATAAAAAACTTGTTTGATATCTGTTTTCATAGAACTTATAAACAATTTTATAAAATTTACAAAAAAATTTGTACCTATAAAAAAGTTGATTTAACTTATGTAGGATAAATTTATGAATAAATTGCCCTATAAAAAACTTGTTTGATATCTGTTTTCATAGAACTTATAAACAATTTTATAAAATTTACAAAAAAATTTGTACCTATAAAAAAGTTGATTTAACTTATGTAGGATAAATTTATGAATAAATTGCCCTATAAAAAACTTGTTTGATATCTGTTTTCATAGAACTTATAAACAATTTTATAAAATTTACAAAAATTTTGTACCTGTAAAAAAGTTTATTTAACTTGTGTAGGATTTTTTTTCCCCAACACACCCCCGGGGAGGGGGAGGGGGGGTTAGGGCCGGCTCTAGGGGCAAGCCAGCAAAGCACTTTGGGCCCCAGATTTGAACTGAAAAATAAGGCCCCTTGTAAAAAAAAATTCTTATAGTATTGGGTGATTTTTTTTTCTTAGGACCTCAATTAAATGAAAAGCCTCAATTATTTTTATCACACTTAACTCTAAGCCCTCAGCACCAAATTCAAAGACAAAACTGCTTTTATATGTGGAGGATTCCCATACTAAAACCCAACTACGTCCAGTGCTTAATACCAAACCTAAAAATAGTATACTACTTTTATTACTGGAGGGCTCTAAGTAATTGATTTCACTTTATCAAACTTCTCCTACCCAATTCACTATTTTGATATTGAACTTCTTCGGTCTTAATATGCTCTGCATATGAATTTAAATTTTATATCATTTCAAAATTTTACTTCAACTGTTTGTTCACTTTACTTAAAAGTTGAAATCTCTATAATTAAATTGACCGTTGCATATTGAATTATGGAATGGAATATTTATTTAATCATACTTCCTAGAAAGTATAAATGAATATTGAATCTCAAGCAAGAGCTCTTAATTCAATTGTACAACTACAAATGCAAAAATAGTAATGTTTAAGTGATACTGTGTTTAATTAATTTAGTACTCTAGATTTTTGTGTATTATTTTTGCATGCATGAATGGGCTCATATCCCAACCCCAACTCACGTAAGAACTTTTTCGCTTCATAAATGGTCCATGGAACAGTTTCATCACACTTTGGGAGAATGTCTTTGAAAACTTGCATAACCATATCAAAAGATTTGTTGCTCTATTTATTGTACACCTTAATATAAAGCATCTTAATAACGAAGGAAAAAACGGAAAACTTTTCACACTCCGAGTACACTTTGCGTCGAGCATCATCAAACAACCTAATGAAATTCACCAAATTTTCTCTCTCCAACCTCTTCCAACATAGTAGGCAACTCACCCAAATTATTATCAATGTCAAAAATTGCAGCTCCATATCTTTCACTATCAATGTTTGACGCACAAGATGATCATTACACAGTGGAACATGTTCCTCGTGGTGCACCCAAGTTCTATAAGAACACACGATTCCTCTTCGAATCAAGTGCAGCCGTACAATTTGTCGACTGTGTTTTGTGTCATTCAAGCAATCGACACACGAACAACGAATGTCATTGTGTGGGCCTAAATCCTTCGTAGCAAAGTCAATAAATAACTTAACACCTTGTTGGTACTCTTTACTTTTCAACCTATCTTTTATCATCATCCAACTCTTGTCGATCTTGTGAACCCTACAAGTTAAGCAAACTTTAACGTGGGAAGGGACAACAAATAAACAAAAATACTCAACAACGGAATAATATGATCGTATATTTTCACTTTTTAATTAAGATAGATGACATTTATATATATTTAAGTTTTAGACAAATAAGTATATTTTTGGACAGATAACTATAAATATAATGTATTCCCTATTTGGAATCTGCCAAAGTGACAATTAGCAAGTTGAAATGAATAGACTGATTACATTTACATATTGGATTTATCATCTTTATTTCCATATTAGTGCTGCCTCTAATTAATGGACCCCTCAGAATCAGAAATGAACTGGTTCTAAAGCGATCAAAAAGGACCATTCTATCTATATCATCAAAAAAGAAGCATTGCAAAAGAGACTTGAGCCATGTGCTACTATGCATTTAAAATCACAGAAATCAAACACAAATAGTGACATAAAACATTACATGTAGAAAAATCCTTAAATGTAATGCAATTGTTTTCTAAAAATAATATAACTATAGAATTAATTATAGAACCTCAAATGTTTCTTGTGTAGGGCTTCATCTAAGCCCTAAGGGTAAGAAGATTAGATACATATGATTGTAGAAATTGTCATACTCTCTTGGAAGAGACCTTGGAAAAAAAACTTTCTCTACACACTCTCCTTCACTTCTTCTCCCCATTTAATCAACCCAACCTTTCTATTTATAGAGAAATTTTTTTTTTTGATCGGCAAAAGGAAAAGTTTATTGATGGAAAGGAAATTACATCAATAAAGTGGAGCTTGGAGCTAAAACAAGCTCCAACCTCCAGGTTGGTGAGAAACCAACGAACTAACACAACAGAGAAAAAAAAAACCAGAAAAACCAGATAGCTTAGGCACTAAATCACCAAAACCAGAACGGACAAACACAGTACTCAAAATGGCACCAATCAGATCAGGCCCTGCACCAACCCATTTGAAGCGCCACAACTGAACAGATGAAACAGATTTTCTGAGCTATATTGCCATGAATTCCAACAACTCAAATAAAGCTCAAACAAAGCATACCAAATGAGATGCTTCAAATATGAACCCAATGCTTCAACCCACTCATCTCTGTTGAGATCTGATGGGATAGCAGCCAAAAACAAGAGATTCTCCTTGGAGTATATAACAGCAGCAGGCCCATTGTGTCTATCAAATATCAGAACCAGCATGCACCTAATTACTCAATTAGAACTATAACCCCCAGCTGGCATCTGAAACAAATAGCACCATAATTTTGAATCTTCCTCCTCTGCACAGCCCAGCTCAGAAACAGAATTAGAGTGCAAAATTCCAGCAAGAATCAAACTGTAGAAATTATATGCATCACAGAATTCAGAATTCAGAATAAGGAAAAATTCCAGCAATTCAGCCAGTCAGCATTCGCCCTCAATGCATAATGCAGAACTTGACACTTTGCAAGTTAAACACCAAATCATTCACGGAATAGCAGAAAGAAGGACTATACGCTCTGAACCACAATGCGATCCTTGTTTTAATAAGTTCACATAGCTTTTTAAAATCCACATGTGAGTCCCCAAAAGTGATTTCATTTCTCTGCTTCCATAGAGACCAAAACACAGCCAAAGGTAGTATCTTCCAGAGTACCTTCAGTCTGTTTTTACATCTAAATCCAGACCACCACTGAAACAGACCAGTCAGTGATCCCGGCTGCACCCAAGATACACCCCACCAGCCAATGATATTGGACCAAACTCGCCAGCTAAACGGACAGCACAGTAGCACATGAGTGGCAGTCTCTAATTCATTTCTGCAGAATTTACAACTAACATCAGAATCAGCATTGATTGCTCCAATCCTTTGCAAATAGCTAGTGGTCTTAATCCTCCCTTTCCATACTAACCACCCCAGAAATTGCACTTTCGGAGGGGCAGCATTCCTCCATATGAGATCCTTCAAATTTGCAGGCAGAGTAGGGGATAATTCACACCACTTATAGACAGAGTTAACAGTGAAACTTCCAGACTTATCTGCACTCCAAAATAACCCATCAGCCACGCCATTCCTAAGCTCTGGGGCAGTGCGCAACAGCTCCTTTAACCTCCTCAGGTCATCCAATTCCCATTGGAACAGAACTCTTCTGAAAACCAACCCCCAATCCTCATTATCAGTGCTCCTACTCTTAACCACTGCTAGTGATTCCCCTTTATGCATAGACACAGAGAATAGTCGAGGAAATAGATTTTTTAAACAATCGCTACCAAGCCACAGATCCATCCAAAATTTTGTGAGCCTCCCATCCCCAATACTGATCCTTGAGTTAGCTTTGAAAAATTCCAGCAATTCAGGGCACTTAACAGCTACCCCCAATATATCCCTCCACACCATAGACCATCTGGAATTAACCTCTTGAACTGGCCACCGAGACCCACCTAACTGTGGGTATTTGCTGAGAATTACTTGTTTCCAAAGAGCAGCAGATTCACCCCCAAATCTCCACCACCATTTGAGAAGAAGACATTCATTCATGGTTCTCACTTTTCTGATGCCAAGACCCTACAAAGTCATTCCTCTCCAAATATTTAAGGACTGGTGTATACCCGTGCCTCAAGGCACGGTGTAAATAAAAATAAATGAACAAAAAGAAAAAAAAATTAAATAAACAAGGAGGAAAATAAAAAAAATAAAAAAATAGAAGGGGTGAGAAAAGGAAAAAATAAAAATAAAAGGAGGAAGGTGGGATCATAAGATCATTCATAGGATTATTCATGGGATCATGGGAAGGTGGGTGAGAAAAAGAAAAAGCAAGAGAGAGAAGTGAGAAAGTAGGATATATCATAGCCATTGTTTTGTAGTTTGAACAGATCTGAGCCGTCCAACTGTCTTATTGGACAAATTAAAAAATCATCCTGCTTTATTATACAGATATTCTCATAAATGCAACTAACAATGGTTGAATATAGAAGATTTGGAAAGTCCAATTTGGTGGCTAATTGTTGAACACATTGAGTTATGTCTGATATTTTGTTCTCCTCCATGCTATGAATCTTGACATGAATCTAGTTTCATTTGAAACTAGACTTCTAGGACTTCAATTTAGACAGTAGATTTGTATGGTTTGGACTTGAATGAATGAGATAAGATTTTCAAAATTGGTGGATGCAATTTGTCTTGTGTGCATAATTTCAGATTTTTTACCTTAAATGTATCTTCTTTTTTGACCTCCAATATGGCTGAGTTGAGAAATTATTGTGAGATAATGATTTGTATCCCTTTGATTTAAATTTCCAATGTCGCTTGATTCATCTCAATTTGATGTCGTATGAAGAAGATATGTCCAAAATACCAACTACTATGCAAAGAACTTCCAACTCAAAAATTCAAGTTTTTATTCTTAAATTTGATTAGATAATCCTTTCTTTTAAAAATTCATGTAAGCTTTGCAAAATTCATTCAACTCATGTCATTTGAGTGTAAAGACTTGAAAAACACACAATTACATAGAACAACACCAAATCATCATATAATACAGAATTATGGACCCATGAAAATTCATGTAACAGTTGATTAATGGAAAAATGTCATTTGTTATATGATTAGAAGCATCAAGGGTTAAGATATAATTTTCCAAACATGGGGGAAAAAAAAATTATGCTTCTAATAAACTTCAAAAGGTGTATTTACAACAGGAAAAAAAAAAACAGAAAAGTGGTATAAAAAAAATTACAAAAAAATGATAAATATTAATAATTAAATTATAAAATTTTTCTCATGTAATAATTTTCAAAAACATCCCTTGAATGATAATTTCCCCTTTATAATATCCTCTGAAAAAATGTTAAACATTTCTGTAAAATCTAATCCACTTCAAGACTATAAACAAAACAACCAACATGGCATGCTTCAAAATCCAATCCATTCACAACACTATAAACAAACAAACAAACAAACAAACAAACAAACAAAAAGAACAAAACACAGTAACTTTTTTCAAAATCAAATCCATTCAAATATGAGCTATTGCAATCCCAAATTAATGAAACCCAGTATTGTTTTCATCACCTTATTGCAAGGTTAGTTTCATACACATTAAACATCATGTTCGAAATTTTTAATCAATTACAACAACATATTTGAATGAACCCTACAGCAACAATGTCAGAAATGGGGGAAACACAGAAAGGGGGAGACAGAGAGAGACAGAGACATATAGATAGATAGACTGTATGAGAGAGCTCGAGTGAGAGAGCGAGAGACGGACGCACAGACAGATTGAGAAGGAGAGTGCAAAAGCGAGAGAGAGCGAGAGAGAGAGAGAGAGAGAGAGAGAGAGAGAGAGAGAGAGAACCTGTGATGTGCAGCTACGATGGTGGTGATTGGCGCCAGTGGCGGTAGTTGTGGCCGTCGCAATGTTGCCCGTACAGTAGAATACGGTGAGGGGGGCTGATTTCTGTGAGATTTGGTGAGGTGTTGGTGATACACTGTTGTTCACTTGTGTGTGATACCTGTTACCTATAGATCAACGCGCGCGCATCAATTAAGAAGTGGCACGAGTTGAAATATCAACCTATCGCGACTAATTTCGTACTTAGTCGGAAAGGAATCAATTATCACTGACAACGACGAAATTTTTGGTCGCTATAAGTCCTATTTCGCGACTAAGTTCTATTTAGTTAGGAAAAAGAAATATTACAGATTAAATTTACTTTTTTTTTAGCCTAAGTTGTACACTAACAGTGACTAATATCCTATTTAGTCGCTAAAAAGTTAAATTTTAGTCGACTAAATTTAAATTTAGTAGCCAATTACAATATTTATCGACTAAATATTTTAGTAGGTAATATGAACCAATGCGCACAAAATTAAATTTTAGTCGCCAAAATTAGTCGCCAAATGTGCATTTCTTGTGTGTAGTGACCAATAGGATGACAGTTAGAAATAGAAGGATCAGAAGGAATGGAAGAAGAAGGAGCAGGTATAGGTAATCGAATAGAAAATAGAGGTAATAGGAATAGAAGGCTAAGGAGGAGAAGTAAGAAAAGGTAAGAAGTACTGTGACTGAGATGGAGAAGGACTAAGAGAAACAGTAGAAGGATTAGGATTGGCTGAAAGAAGAAGATGATGTTTAACTGAAAAAAAAGATGAAAAATAAGAGGCCCAGAAAAAAAAACCTGAAGAGAAGGTAACTGAGAGGAAGAAGAAGAAGAGAAGTGAGCAAAGGAGGAAAAACTTGTCATTGAAACAACACATGTTTGGAAAGATAATTGGTGCTAGTTTTGGGATCAAGACACCTGTAAACCTTAGCAAAAGGGATGATAGCCTAAAAAAAAAACACTCAATAGATTTAGTGTACAATTTGTAGAAATGTAAAGTTTAAGCCAAGGGAAACACTAACAACCAAACATCTTAAGAATAGAAAAAATCCAGTTTGTCTGTGAAAGAGTTTCAAAAGGAGTTTGTTATGCCAATTTGGAAGAGGGCAGTCTATTTATAAGATAAGTGGCACAAGCAATGGCATCAACCAGTAATGAAGAGGAACAAATGAGTGATAAAGTAAAGGCAATTGCAACTTCAGTGAGGTGTTTGTGCTTCTTTTCAGCCATAACCATTTTGAGATGGTGTACAAGGACATGAGTGTTGATGAACAATACCTTGAGACAAAGTGAACTGCTTCATTTTTTATTAAAAAACTCTATGCCACCATCAGTTCTAAACTCTGAAGAGATGTAGAAAATTATTTTTCTGGCATAAGCTTTGAATTCAAGAAAACATATCATATACTTCACTTTTGTAAGCTAATGGATACAACCATGTAAATCTACTAAAATCATCCACAAAGAGAACATAGTATTGGTAACCAGAAGTGGAGAAAGAGGCCCCAAACATCACTGTGTATTAAAGCAAGAGGTTTATTGATAGTGGAATTAGACAATTGAAAAAGGTAATTTATGACTCTGGCAACACAATAATCAACACATTCATGAACCTAAAATAGAAGCAGGATTTTTAAGATGAAAATGAGACCTAAGATGCTTGAATTTAAACTACTAGGATGGTCTAACCTATTATGCCATATAGTACTAACAGCAGAAGAAGAACTAGAATGCACTTGAGATGTGAAACTGGTGTGTGTTGTCGCAGAATGAGGAGTGAGAGTAAGTGAGGCAGCAGTGGAAAAGAAATTGGTACAAGTCATGTAGATTAGAGCCTTTGTGAAGAATTCTCTTTGTAACCTTGTCCTGAATCACAAAATGAGTATCATCAAAACTGATAATGCAATTGTTATCTTAAGCCAATTTTCGAATAGAGACCAATTAGATGATAAAGAATCTGTATAAAGCACATTGTTAAGCTTAAAGAGATGATGAGGAGTGGAAGAAGACCTTACCAGTATGTTGTATAGGAATAGAATTACCATCTCCTGTAGTAATCTGATCTAATCCTTGATAGGGCTGATAACAACTGAGTTGGCTAAGATAATTGGTCATATGATCTGTAGCTGCAAAGTCTAGAACCATGGACATGGGCAGATGATGAGGATGGAGACATAGAAGCATTAGAAGCAGTAACAAAAGCTCTTGATGGTGACTGTGAACTAAAGTTACTTGTTTGTGAAGACTGAGACTGAAATGAAGAGTGGAATTGTGGATCCATACGAAGCCAGCAGTCTAATGCAGAATGACTAGAACCTCCATAAATTTGACAAAATTTATTAGAAACTCTTGATAGAACCTCTTTGTAAGATCCTCCATAACATCTGTATCCATATCCTGTAGGATGCCTGAGTACGACTATCTCTTCCTCCTCTAGATATAGATCGACCAGAGGTTGATTAAAAGGCTGAGCTCGTGAATTGTCAGATCCTTAATTGTAGAAAATAGCTATAGTTGATCTATAGATTTTTTTATTCTTCGAATCTAAATGAAGAGCCTCAAAACATAGCAAGGATGAGAGATTATCCATAGTAATAACTTCTGGTTGAGCACAAATTGTGGTGGAAAAAGCATCATACTTTGAAGGAAGACCATTCAGAGTAATGAGAACCAGATCCTCATCATCAATGATAACATTGGCCAAAGCTAACTGACTAACTATGACCTTGATTTTGGGCAGATATTCTTCTATTGTATCTGATTTCTTAGCAACACTATTTAGTTTATTTTTTAATTGATGAACATGCAAACGAGATAAAGTTGTAAATCGCTTTTGCAGAGATGTCCATACCTCTGAACAGTGATGAAATTAAAGAACAGATGCATAGATCGATGGTGTAAGAGTTGCAGTGATGCAACTTAACAAATGTGCATCAATCGTAGTTCATTGAAGAAATTCGAGATTAGGTACTGAACTCCTTATTGAATCAATGATTGTAGATGAAGGACATGTGATTGAGCCATCAACATAACCAAGAAGATTGGTGGCTCGAAGAACATTTGAGAGTAGAGATTGCCAGATGATGAAATTTGTTCCATCAAGCTTGACTGTAACAAAGGATGACAGATTAGAGATCAGTAAAGTCAGATTCGAAGGAAAAGAAGAAGAAAGTGATGTTGTCATGGATCAGTTGCTTGATAGAGCTTAGCATGCTCTGATACCATAAAGAAGTTTTGTAATCAAATCTATTTCATTCTCAATCAATTACCAGTCCATACATCACTTATACTTATATACAATATAATGGATGGATCTAACAAACTAACAACCACTTTAACTAACCCCTAACTAATTCTACAAATATCTATTCAAAATATCTAACCTGATGACTTCAGCAAAGCTGTGGTTAAAGCTTGTGGTTGGAGCTATAGCTTGAAGCTGCGACTGCAACCTAAGCTAGCTGAGCTAGCAACTAAGCTAGCTGGTGTATCCTCGACATTTTGAAAACTGGATGAAGTTTTCAAAATCTAGCTTCTAGTTGCTTTTTTTGAGTTTATTCCTCACGTGACTAGGAAGAGCATCAGTACAGTCTATATGACTCACTTCATCTTTTACAACGTGTTTATTTATTTAAAATAATTTAAAATAATCTTTTACAATGTGTTTTGTTATTTATTACGTATTAGACTCACTCTATCTTTAAAATATAGTAACATCAACACAAATGTGTAATATCGTCAAAAATTGGCATAAGAAAATGTCCAAATTTTTTGTATTTGATTATTGCAAAACTTGTAAGTTGGTTACAGTTTTTTTTTTTTTTTTTTATGTCAATTTGTAAAAAAAATTACATTTTCTATGGTTGAAATGAGTAAAAATTTTATAATAAAGTTACACATTTAATGGTAGGATATATACCTATAAATAGATACATATCAAAATTATGTTTTTATACATATATAGCATGTACATATATATATATATATATATATATATAACTAATATGGGAGTATTTTTTGGTGTGACAATTTTTTTTAAAAAAATTGTCTCCCCTTAAATTGGAGGGAAATTTGAATTTGCAATAATATATTTTTTTTTTGAAAATCAAACAAAAATCTTTTTTCAAAATAAAATTTTTAAATCACTTTTTGAAAAAATAATTTAAAAAAATGGGACCAAACATGATGCCAAAACCAACCCTTTGTTTTTGCTGCTTAATTAGTTCACCAATAGTTACACCATTAATGGTTGCACATTGGCCATTCTCAGAAACCAAAACTAAGGTATCTATCTATGATCTAAAGGTTGTTAATCATCCATCAACACTTGAGAGGCCCAATATATAACCACTGTACGAAGAATGGTGGACCACTGATCATTCATGGCAGAAGAGAAGAGCAGTAAATAGGTGCATCTGAATGATGATTGTTCAAGTGGCTATAAGATTGGCCACGAAGATTTGTATATGCAAGTCATCATCAAAAACTTCATCTTCACAATCTCAAACCAAAAACCCAACTTTCTCTTATCTCCTAAAAGATGAGGTGAATCTATAGTTTGGATTACTTGTGCTTTTTTGGCCCTTCACTTGGATATCTGTGGATAACAGTCACTCTCTATTTACTTTTCTATTCCCCACATTTTATATAGTCCTCGAAATATCCTCCAAATATCTGTCTTTCCCTCCCTTGCACTTTTTCCCTCTTCTATTCTCTCTCTCTTTTTAAACTTCTATCATTCCCTTCTGTTTTTGTCCATTTCTATTGAGAAACGATGTTTCATACGATTCATAACTATCATCCCTTTCCTTGTTTGCATTGCCACCCTCATAGCTACATCCGCATGGTAACTCTCTCTCTCTCTCTCTCTCTCTCTCTCTCTCTCTCTCTCATCATACACAAAGAAAGGAAATTGAATGATAATCATATACTTTTAAATAACGGTGTCAATATCAGTAATACGATCATATATTAGCCAATATCACATAGAATCAATCATAAATTTTTTTGCTTTGTCTGGATGTCGTTATTGGTTATGAAACCGTTTCCAAATGATTTTGAATTTATGTTAGTTCTTGGGCATGTGAATTACAGGTTCAACATCTTATAGAAAGGTGTTTGCTTCTTCATATGAACCGAGATCAATGCATAAAGGCGCTTGCAGAGCATGCTAGTGTTCAACCCCTTGTTACGCTTACAGGTCCACTCTCTCTCTCTCTCTCTCTCTCTCATGAATAGTATGTAGCTACCAGCTAGAACTGTGTTTGATCTTCATATGAGCTATAGCATTTTGGCATATTTTGATTCTTACTCATGCACTCTTTTTCAAATTAAGTTAAATATGTTCAAACTTTGACTTATTTACATTTTGAGTAGATCTTAAACCAATTTTAATTGAGCTGCACTCGAATAGCATTGATGTTTATAGTGAATCTAATCGACTTAAGCTCATAAAATTAACAATTTCAAAAATATGTTTAAGTTCAATTTGTTTGAGTTTGAATAGTTTGGTTCATTTTACAGTCCTAACTTATGTCTGCGTGCATGAGTGTGGTGTGTGTGGATTCAATGGTTTACTTAATGATAAGTTGGTGGTTGTTGCAGTGTGGAGAGAACTACTAAAAGAGAACAAGGTCTTCTTTCAAGCTTATTTCCATGGCATTTCTCCAAGGCCTTTCATGAGTAAGCCCTTGAACTTTTCATGGTCTTTTCCTTGTCTGGCCAATTAAAAAAAAAACTAAGATTGTGTTTAAATCTTAGATTTGTTGAGGAAAATGAGAAGTGAAGAGAAAGGTTGATGAAAAATGAACTTTTTTCCTTTCCCTTTCCTTTACAAATATGTCCTTAAATTCAAGATCCAAAGACCGTCTTAAAAGTATCCTTAAAGATAGTTTGCTCATTTGAGTATACATTTGTATTCTCAGGTAGACAAATCCACAAGAAAGAAAGGTTTGCAAGAAGGAAACTATGGAGGTGAATGAGAATCATAAAATCCCACCCAGTCTGAGAACTTATATAATAGGAATGAGAATGTAGCGTGCATGTATTGTTAGCTAGGCTTTTAAGACAGTATATCATGAGGTTATAATTCATACTAAAGCTTGCAGGTAGTGTTCTTATATCTAGAAACTGAATCTATATTGGAGACCCCAATCAAATGGGGACTAAAATGAGTATAGTTTTTATATTATTTTCTATTATCTCCATTGTCAAAGGCATGATCATTTGAGCACTCTCTCAGTCTCTCCGCTTACATTCACATGCATATGAGGTTTACATCTTTGCATGTTTAGGGCATGTTTGGTCGTATTTTCATTTTCTATTTTTATTTTTCAAAAAACACAGATAATTAGTTTTGAAGAAAAGAAAAAACAATTGTTTTCAAAATGACAAATCCTCCTTAGATTGCATGCCCATAAAGCACAAATTGTGTTTTTGAGATAGCCATGATCTACAATTATATACCAGTTGATATTAAACAATATCAACTGATATATCAATAAATATTAATATTAAATGTCTATAATCTCAATACGTATCAGTCGATATTTAAATCTCGATCATGATACCCTTAACCTTAACCCTAGTTCTATCCCCAATACCAAAAATATAACTTGAAATTACTTGCTTAATTATTAGAAATTGATAGGACCAAGAACTGAAGAAGTGTTGTGTTTGGACAAATTACATCAATTATATTTTTACCACCCATTTTGTCTACCATACTTTTCAACAAAGCTTGAGTTAGAAAACCTCGTTCTCAAGAGCATCTTTACCTAAGAAAGGCAAAAATGATTGAAACCCTAAAAACACCTAACTTAAAAAGAGAAACATAATATTGATGAGCTCTCTTTATTTTACTCAAAGGGTGTCTTTGTCCATATGGAATGCCTTGAAGCCTTTCTTTCACGGAAACCATTGCCTTCTACATGGACCTGAACCAGAAAGCCATGCACCCATTATTAGTGGCATAAATTACTCAAAACACACTAGGTGTTAAATTATGGAGTTTTTTAACTTGATTGTTCAAGAACCCTAAATGGTGTATCATAAATTTGACAATCTACTCATTCAACTCCATGAAAGTGACAGGCTTCATAATCCAATATGTGAAATCTATAATCAGTAATTCTATTAGCCTAGAAAAAAATTTCAACTTTTTACAAATAATGAGATTGTGTGATAAAAATTGAATTAGTATAGTGTGAGTTCAACATATAGAGATTAGCTTATTTACGGCTAGATTGGATGTCTAATCTAACTTTTGTGAGAGAACCTATGAGACCGATAGTGAGAGTCCATTATTGTGATGACTAAGGTTTTAAAAATCGGCAGATATATATGATTATTGTCTTGATACTGTTATTTAAAATCATGATATGGACTATAACTTCTTTCATAGAATTTGGACAGGACATCCAAATCAACTAGAGAGAAGTTGGATTAGACAAATCAACTGGAGAGAAGTTAGCCCTTTTCTAGCTTGGTTTGTTTCGTTCCTTTTAAGTCAAATTCGACTTGCCAGTCAAGTTTTAAAACCTTGTTGGGAGAACTGTTTTTGAAAAGAAAAAAAAAAAAAGATAGAAAGCACTTTTTTTTTCAAATTCTTGAAAACCAGCTTCGCACAAAAATCAAACGATATAAAAACGATGTGTATTTTTGAACTTTTCATTGTTTTTTTTTTTTTGAAAATACCAAAAACAAAAACAAAGGGAAGAAAACAAAAAACAAACAAGCCCATTTTTTAAATGTGATTTTTTGATGGCAAGTTTTTGATTGGTGAGTGAGACATTGATCGATGTGATTATATTGTTGTTTGTTACCAGTTAAACAGTTGCTACTAAGATCAGGCAGTTGAGAAATTTGATAAATCACTGCTGTAGGTCAGATAATCAATGCCATGTGATAATAAAAAACCTAAAAACAAGTTTAAGATTCAGATTATGGCCAAGAAAGGAGGTACAATTTCTTAATCAAGTCCATGTGACTACAACTACTAAATGTTGATTGATCGATGAATAAGCAAGCCTACTCATCTCTCACTTCACGTCTATCTAATCGATATAAAGAGCACACGATGATTATGTTGAAGTGGGATTTGTAGATGAGATGTACTCAACCTTATCTCATTTCTGGAGAAGCTCTTTAATCAATTTGTTTGCTCAATTTAACCATCTTAATTACGCCACTAATCGAAATGACAGAACAGTCCATAAATCTGGTTTAAAACAGTTTGCTTAGAAGCCAAATGGCTTTTGTTGATCAAAGTCAGCAACTATCAGAAGCTTCCTAAAGAATCATTTACCTCTCCAACATCTGAGGTCCTTGGCATCTTTCTCTCAGCTCCCTGCCCACAGCTTTCTCCATCTCTTTTGTACTGAATTGGTGGGAAATGGGCCCACTAAAAGTGCTCATAACATGTCAAAAGACTCAATTAGTTTCCCCTTGATATAGCAATTTCTTCAAGTTCATGTCCAGGTCACTTTTTATATACAAAAATAAATAAATAAAAAAATATTCATAATCTTTGTGCATAGATGATTCAACGACTGTAAGTGTTTTAAGATAAAAGAACAGAGTGACTTAATCTGATCTCACTTGAGATTCTCAAATGTTTTAACGACTATAAGTGTTTTAAGACAAGATAGAGTGATTGGGGACATGATCTGACCTAATCTTTGGTCCATTAGAATTTAGAAAACTTACATTTTTTGCAGCTGCACTGAATGCTTCCTTGTGAGTCATGTTGGGATACTTGGCCTTGAGCCTTCTGATTTCTTCTCTGCTATGTATAATAATTTGTAAGAACTAGAATTCACACTTAATCCCCATATGTATTATTCTTATGTCACGCAATTAATTTTTTATAAGATGAATTTTCCTACTTGATGAAGTTGTTGTAAGCTGATGGAGCTCTTTGCCTCTTCTCTGGGGCTGTTCAAAATCAAACAAAATTAGAACAAAGTTAGAAATTTTTTTGAATTTTCAACGTCAAGAAATTCAATGACTTCACTTCGCGTACGTTTATTGACGACATGATTCACCAGAACTGCATCTTCTTCTTCTTCGTCATCATCCGATGAGATGACGAGGGATGGGCTCCTCTTGTCCAAAACCTTTTGAGTTTCTGCTTCTTGAGGGATAATTTCTTCTTTTGGCTGGAGAGAGAGAGAGAGAGAGAGTAATTTGGTTACGGTAGACATAAAAATGTCCTCTCTTCTTCTTTTTTTTAATGGGTAAAATACTAGATCTTTTTTTTTTATCCGCAAAAAGAAAAAACTTTATTGATAAATCAACAAGATACATCAAAAGCAAATGGATGAACACAAAAAGTATCAAAGAGTAGAAAACAAAATCCATTGATGTAAAACAAAGAGTAGAAAGGTGGTACTAACAAGCTTTTATCAAAGAAAAAGGCAAGAGAAAATGCATCATTGCAAAAGGGCATATCCCAAAAATGTCCACACTTTGAAAACATTATTAGGGTTAATTTTATGTGAGAAGTGTAAAAAAAAAAAAAAAAAAAGTAGAAGAAGAAGAAGACGGAGATAAGATTGAGTACCTCATTATCTTGGTTGAGAGAATTAGCAAAAAGATGGAGAGGGACAAAAGAGGCTTTCATCATGTTCACAGAGAGGAGGCTGGTGCAGTGGCCGCATCGGACTGTGACCACCATTGACAGACTGCTACATGGAACACTTACCTGAGTTTTGAAAATAAAAATAATGTCAAACAAAAAAAGATAAAAGATAAAAGATAAAGATGAGAGTAAACAGATCATAGAATGCATAAAACATAAAGAGGTGTTAATGAAGAGAGGTATCAATGGTTAATGCTCTATATAGCTTCCAATGCTAATACTGTGCATATATTACCAGTAAAATGGTGGTACAATAACCACATTGTACATAGCAAATCTGTTCTTGAAGGTCAAAGAGATGGTTCACTGCTGTAGACATTGCTTTGTTTCTCCCTCTGAGAGAGAGAGAGAGAGAGAGAGTTAGAAGAAGAAGAAGTAGAAGAAGACAAACACAGTGGGTATGGAAGCTAGGGAAGATACATAGAGCCTAGAGGATAGGTGGGCACTAAATAAAACAATGAGTCACTAATGATTGCTTTTTGAATCTATTTTTTATTAAGGAAATAATATATAAGTTAACTTTTTGAATCTATTTTATAAATTTAATTTTTTAAATTTAATGATATATAAATGATATGATTGGTTGATAATTAAGAAATATATGAGTGAGAGTGATGTCTCAGATATCCTAATTGATTGTCACATCATTAAACTTGAAAATAAGTATATAATATTTAGTCTTGAATAGCAATGCTTTTTTTATTATCATTTTTTCAAAAATAGGCTAATTTTATTGATAAATTGTTGTGGGGAAGGGAAAAAAAAATTAGGGAGTTTGAAAAAATAAAATTAACATACAAAATTTTTATTAAAAAAATCACTCATAATAATGTGTTGACAACGTTTTTTGAAATTGTAAATCAAAATAGTGTATAGAAAATTTTGTATTAAAAAGTTATTTATCTCAATTTGTATAAACATTTTGTTTATATATTAATATCTTTTGACAAAATAGTCTAAAAAACTATTTAAAAATAAAGTGTTAGTGTGATATAAATTACATTAAGAATAAATATGATTTACATATATTTGCATATTTCAAATTTTTTTAATAACTTTTCAAATAATTCTTTTTTGAGTAATTCAGAAATCAATGTGCTTGGATTCATGATGCTATAAACTCAAAGCCAAATTACAAATACAACCCTATCATGGTGAAAACAACAATTCACGGGTACACTATCACCCATGTTACTTTGACTATATTGAATTTCACTTTCTCATTGAAACACTTGCAATCTTCAACTCTTGAGGCATCACAGGTTCAAAGTTCTAAGTGACTAAAATGACTAGTGCTTGTTTGTTTCATGTATTGTTTTCTCCATATTAAATCCCCCTCTGTGTCTCTCTGTGCCTCTCTCTCTCTCTCTGATTGATTCATGAAGATGAAAGTGAAGGTTCAATGAGTTTTTACTATGTTTGAAGGCATGGGAAGTTTCTAGAAGACTGTGAAGAGAGAGAAAGGAAGGCATCTTAGAAATTGTCTTTCTTGAAAGAGAGGAAAGTATAATTGACAATGAAAAGAACTCCACTCTACTTTCTGTGTTCTCTTATTCATGTTTACTTGACGAATTGGGATCCTCTCTTTGAATCCTCTCCTTGACTCCCTTCTTGTAGGGTTTTCGGGTCTATTTTTAGGCCTAATTTTGATAATCTGAACCGTTCATATTTTAATATTTATTCAATATATCATATCTGTAAAAAATCAAGTTGATCGGATATCATAAAGTATTTGTTTGGAAAACTATTTATTAAAATATAATTTGTAGTTCGATTTTTCTGAACACATACTTTCTGATATCCGATTAACTTGACTTTTTACAGGTATGATATACTGAATAAATCTTAAAATATGAACGGTTCGAATTATTAAAATTGAACCTAAAAGTGAATTCGAAGGCCCTATAAAAAGAGAGTCAAGGAGAGAATTCAAGAAGAGGATCCTTGCTCTTACTTGACATCCCTTTCTATGCTTTTTAGCCCTCCAAATGCCCCCCAAACACCCACTTACCTGTATCCAACTTCACTCACCCACGTGCATGCACGTGACCCCCCCTCCCCCCCCTTAATTTTTTTGCCCTTTTTTGTGTGGAGAAACTCTACTAGCCGAAAATTTGGGTCAAGAAATTTAGGGAGAATTACATGTAAGTGGAATAAGAGAAAAAAAATTACCAATATATAGGGATGCAAATGTGTTTGTGATGGAGTGCAAATGAAAAACTGTGGGAGTGTAACTTGCACTCCCTCATGTATTGGTAATTTTTTTTCCATTCTCTCACATGCATATAGTTTTTCCAAAAATTTATTCCAAAAACAAATGTGATTAAGATTTAATTAGTATTTTGTGGAGTCTATATATAAAATAAATCTCAGTCATACAATGTTGATTTTGATAAAATTTTAAGTACAAATTATGAATTTGTAATATTATTGTTTTTGTAATAGACTCACTTTATTATAGTCTATAATTTTATTTAGATGAGTGCCAAAAAACTGTGGTGTATGGTTTAAATTCCAAATAAGGACTGTTTGAGGTGATTTTTTTTTTTTTTTTTGTTAAAATAGTTAAAAAAGATAAAACACTTTATCACATTATTCTTTTTATTTTTTTATATGTCATTTTGTAAAAAGTCAAAAATTAACTAAAACATGCTATTCCCAAACTATTCCTAAACGGGGCTAAGATTCAAAATAAATTTGATGAAGGGGATGATTGATAGTAAGTTCATAAATCAATTTGACCATATGATGGAAAAATAGCATTTTATTGATTTTCTAACAGTAATGATACATAATTCTAATAATAGAGCTTTAAATAGAACTTTAGTGAGATGGAAAAAAGAGAGTAGAAAGAGAAGTGTAGGCCCTACCTTACACTCTCCACATCATTAGAGCCATATTAAAATTCTCAAACATTATTCGATTTTTTAAGTTAGAGATGCTTTGGAGCTCTAACGGGTGGGACCTATCTATGATGTGATGTTTTGAAATTTTTTTTTTTTTTTTTTCAATACTATATAACACCATTTAGAGCTCTATACCTAAAACTCTCCATCACTGCCCTTTCTAAAGCTGTCTTAGGGCAACAACACTCATACAATGCAGTGATGATTTTGATTTGTGGTGACATGACATACAATGAAGGTTAATTCTAATGTTTAAGCTTCCATATTAAGAAATTTATAATCTTTTAATTTTGAGATAAATTATATTTTGCTCCTTTTATATTTAGTTATTTTCTCACTTTAGTGATTAAAGTTTTTTTTTTTTTCAATTTGACTCTTCATATTTTAAGTTGGGCGAATTATGCTAACAGTCCCTATAGTTTATGACTCGTATAATTTTGATTCCTAACTTTTCAATTGTGACACATTTGACCTTGAATGTTGAATCTTGTTCCAAATCAGAACAATTGAAGATACTATTTCCTGATTTTAAGGGCAAAATCGTCAATTTGATAAAATATAAACTAATTTAACAGAAATAAATATCAAAAAAATATCTTTCAATTTTTAAAAATTATTTCTATCTACCAAAGATAAAATTATATAACATTGATAAATCTTTTAGACATTTATTTATTTACCAAATTAATTTTTAATATGTGTTTGGATGATGATCATGTAATGGGTGGTTGTTAGGATTTTAATATGTAATTGATATATTTAATATATGAAATGTTTTTAGCTTTGGATTTTTGATTTAATGGTTTAGTTTAATAATGATATCATAGTTGTCGCAATATTTGACTTTTGAAAAAATAGAAACTAATTTAATGAAAATAAAAATAATCACCCATTACATAATCATTATCCAAACATATAATAAAAATTAATTTGGTAACAAAAAAAATAAATAAATATCTAAAAGATATATCAATTTTACATAATTTTATCTTTATGGGTAGAAATAATTTTTAAAAATTCAAAAAAAAACTTTAACATTTATTTTTGTTAAATTAGTTTATATTTTATCAAATTGATGATTTTGTCCTTGAAATTAAACAATGATATCTTCAATTGTCTTTATTTGGAGCAAGATTCAAAATTCATGGTCAAATGTGTCACAATTGAAAAGTGAGGAACCAAAGTGACACAACCTCCAAATTATAAGGACCGTTAGTGTAATTCGTCCTTTCAAGTTTTTCGCATTTTACTCTAAGAACTAATTTCTGCTAAAAATTGGACAGCAAATGACACAGTGATAGTCATGTAATATAAAAATATTTTATTATATATGACTCGCACCTTTAACAAAAACTTAAACTCTAATATAATAATATATTTTTTATGTCATGCGACATTTATTGTAGCATTTTCTATCTAATTTTGAGTAGAAATTAGTTTTCGGAGTAAAATGAAAAAAAAAAACTTGACACATGAGGGCCAAAATGTGAAAAAATAAATTTTAAGGGTCATAGTGAGAAACTAACCAAACTTAAAAGGAGCAAAGTATAATTTACTCTTAAATTTGAGATTTAAATAAATTTGTTTTGAATCATGATTTTTAAATGTTTAAGTGTCTGTCTGGTTTGATTTTTCAAAATTTGTTTTTAGATAAGTGTGGAGGGGTAAAAACATTGATCCAAAACCCAAAGATGTCGGCCTAAGGCCAAAGTCCAAATCCAGCTAAGCAACTCAAATCAAAAGAAAGGCCCAAGTCATTGATAGGTCTAACAAAAAAGGAGACAGTGTCATGTGACCAAAACCTGAGTAAAATCACCCCTCTAGAAGGAGATCTGTAGAGTACAGGGATGCCCTTAGATTCATTCATAATCAACTGTAAGGATCACAATTGTCAGAGATAGGAGCGTAAGCCTGACCAACGCAAATGACACAACTATCCGATGAACCTAATCGGATGGATAGAGCAATCGGCAAGTTGGCTACCAAATGCCTGGCATAATCTAAGACGCACACAGCAAGATAATCCAACAGTAAAAGATCAAAGCAACTTGGCCACTTGTCCGACCAAAGTCTGACAGTGACCAGAGCCCTTAGATGAAAATGTCAATCCAACGGTCAAGGCCAGGATAATAACAAGAATAAGGGAAAACAAGAGAGGCAACAAAAAGGACAAAAGGAAAATCTTATTTCCTAAACAAATATCATATGGCCAATCATATTTCTGACTTGATCGTCGAAAGATTTTCCCAACCATATCTAGTCGGAAGTGATCACTAACAAGTTGGTTTCTCTTTGCAGAGTAAAGGAAGGATCATCTCGTCTTGCATTCCTTATGTAGAATCTTTTTGCGTTCCACAATGAGTTTTCGCTTATTTTTAATATTTTTTTATATTTTAGTTAATTTTTTATACTTTTTAAATGCACAT